ACCAATGGTGCAAAAAAAATATTTCTTAGGCTTTGCATCCACGAAAATATTTATTCAAATACAAAAACAATCGTGTATGTTGCTCTTTTTTATTTCATTTTTTCGTATTTTGTGAACATAATTTAGCATGTGTGTGTATCAGAAATTTTCTCGAGGAAATTCTCCAATTTAACTTCTTGAAACCACTCATTTTGGACGAAAATATTTACACACACATTTGTAAATTTTAAATTTAAAATGTAAATATCTATTCTCTGGTGGTTGCCACAGACAAACCTCAATTTTGTCATTGAACATTTTGTGTGCTACTATGTAAGTTTTAATACTAACCTTTTCAATAATCTTTTTTATATCTTAACAATTAGATATCTGTTGCACTTTAATTGTTTAATACATGGGTGCACATTAAAGTTATTGTAGCCCGAAAATTTTAATATGCAATTAAATATTTTTAAAAATCTACTTCTTATTTTAATTTGTGATTCAATACTTTAGTTTTGCACAACTTGGTAAAAATCTGACTGTAATATTTAATGTTCCTTCAAACATAAAAGAGTCCTACATAAGATTTTGATAAAGTTGCTGCCCGCCATTTGATTTGTGTTTTTAATTGTGGCCCCTGGCCTCATGTAAGTTGGAAATCTTTGTTCTATATCATGGAAAATTCTAGAGTATTCTCACGTAAAAAATAGTGCCAACTATTTAACTCAAAAGTAGTGTAGTGAAATATTACAGATAGCTTTTAATTCTTCGTGTTTCACTACACCAAGAACCAAAAAGTCCTAGAGTAATGAATGGAACGTCAGAAATGTTTTTTTACACTAGACACGAAGTAGCTGCTACAATTTTTAATATTCGGAGATATAATATGCACAGATAGAGTTAGTAAAGTTATTTTTACGAATCATTAACTTATACATTCGTTTTAAAAATTAAATTAGTTTGTGAATCAAGCATACACACAGTACAGAAAGAATACTAAGATCGTTGCAAATTAGACTTAATAGTATAAAATTATTTGAAACAATTAGATACGTGTAAATGACGTCATTGTCGAAAGATCGTGGCATTTGTTAATTCAGAAGCCAATCAAGGTCGGCAAACAAGCTTGACGTCACTGACAGGTATTCAATTAAATCTGATTTATATCACATGGTTAGGTGTAAGCACTTCTCTTCTTAACGAATTGCAAGTACCCAATAAGTATCCTTATTACAGAGCTAAAAACAACCATACATTTTGAAGCGGTGAACTTTTGTTTCTGTTGCAGCCTAGAAGAAATAGAAGAAAACTACAAATTCACGCCATCTTGTATTCACTTGAAAACAAGCTATTGGCGATATCCAAAATATGCCGAAATTGGTATTTTTAGAAGAGAAAATTAGTCATTCATATGCACGAATGCCGAAATTGGTGTTTTTGGAAGAGAAAATAACTCACAAATGATGTGAATGTACGGCGCTTGATTTTCAATTTCTCCATTATTGTTGCTCTGATTGGACTACTCTCTTTCGAGTGTAATGAAATCAGAACAACAATTGAAATTGAAAATCAAGCGCTGTGCATTCACATTATTTGTGAGTTATTTTCTCTTCCAAAAACACCAATTTCGGCATTCGTGCATATGAATGATTAATTTGGAGCTAACTTCAAATAAAGTGTTCCTTAGCACAATCTTTTGGATTGTTTAATTCCAAATTTAAAGAGATACTATGCCGCTGTTTTTACAATGGTATAGATGCTGAGGTAGATGTGATTTTTGAAGTTGGGTTCGTAATTTTTGAAATAGCGAAAAAAAACAGGTCAGCTATTTTTTAGCTATCAACAATTTTTTTCAGCCATTCATTAAGCTATCTGTCAGTCAGCTAATTTTTCAAAACGCATTTTTTCAAGACCTTAACTTTTTAACCATATTGCTGAAATTCATTTTTTAAAATAGAATATGTGCCCTTAAAATATTTTCTTCTTAAAATATTAAAATGGAAAATACATTTGAATTTTAAAATATTTGTAAAATCTACATCGAAAATTTCTGTACGTAAATTATATGTTATTTCATAAATACCAAACTGTTCTTGTTATTCATAAGAGCTGGTCTTGTTATTTCATAAATACAGCCAAACCATCCAGTTTTAAACATTGTTAAAGAATTCTTAACAAGGAAGTAATATAATACAAACTTATAAAGGTCATTATTAATTGTTTTATTTCATTGTAAAATGATTGATAATTATGATAAATAATAATAAGTCCACTCCTGTTTATCTATTTGAATTGTTAAGAAAAATAAGTATCCAATATTTATGTTCGCGTCTTAAAATTTATAGTGATAAATAAAGTTTTAATAAATCACTCGTCATATTTTCACAGTATTCATTGTCCGGCAAAAACAAGTTGAAAATTGAAAAATATGATAACTTCCAACTTTTTTTTTAAATTTAGAGTCAGCCAAAAATTTTAATTCCTAGTATTGGCTGTGACGGAGAAGAAAAAAAATTTTATATTATAAGATGACATTATTTTAAGTTAACAAAACTTGCATTTAATTTTTCTTTAATTGTAATAGTGAAAAAAGTATAAAAACAACTTTAATTGGAGGGCCGTGCTGATTTAAGACTGCACATGAATTACTGGACATGGACATTTTTTAAATTAAATTAAGTGACATCCTTTTACATTTATGTACAAAGTACTTACAATGTAAAAAATAACTGTAAATTCTACAGAAAAAAAAAACATTTTGCCCAGAAAAAAAAAACTGTTTAAAGAAAAAGACGGATTTTTTTCTGCTCTTAACCGTTATACGCGAAATCTAAAAAAACTGCATTTTTTACGGACTTTCTTTGTATACTTGACGATTTAAAGTTGTTTTGTTGACAAAACTGTTTTTCTCTGGATTAAAACTGTCAATTCAAATTCTAGTTTTCTCCATTCAGTTTTGTTTACCGTACGATAACTTAAAATTTTTTTTTCAAATCCTTTTACGATAATTTTCTATGTTTATTCTAACTTTTCTGAAATTATTTTATAGTTTTGAGCATCATATAAATAAAACTGCTAATTGATTTTACCGTCAAAATGATACTCAACCAGATTATTGTGTTTCGGTACATGTTAATTTTTTAGTAAATTAAATTTCCAGAGAATTTCTTAACGCTGAGTCACTATAGTTTGAAATATTTTAACATTTAAGTATGATTTGAATAAGACTTTTTGGATAAACATCATAATAAGTTTAAGATTTTTCTTTTCGTCCTAATGAAAACTTGGCTCAAGAGATAAAGCACTTGAATCCCAATAAGGTATCCCAGGTTCTGATCCCAGCGTTGATTAGTCATACAAATTATGCTCGTGGCTTTTAACTGTCCACAATACTTATAAAGATATATTTTGTTAAAAAAAACAGTAATTATCTGCTTAAAAAGCAGATGCCCCAGTTTTTAAATAACAGTTTATATTTTTAAATAACAGCTATAATTTTTAAATTACAGGGGTTTTATATTGGCACCACCACCTGACAGTTTTTCCGTTAATTTAACAGATTCAAAAGGTGTCATTTTTGCAACAAACTAATCTTTAATATGGTTTCCAAATAGATACTTTACAAGTTTTCCACTTGATAGCAGCATAATACACCAAAACATTCAATTGCCCTAACGGAAATTGTTATGCTTTTCTCCAAAACCACCCTTTAGTGGACATTTTAACGTGCAATTTAGAAATCTGGCTTATCATTATTTTTCACAAAACCTTTTATTTATAAGATTGTGCATGTAGTTAAAAGACAATGTAGTAATGAAGCATATTGATATAGCACTTCCTTCAATTTGTTTTGAATATGATTTATTTTTTAAATAAACTTTTAAGTAGTTTTTGTTCATGGATCACTAAGTTGAATTTAAATTAAACATTAAAAAATGCAAATTAATTTTTCCCACAAGTTTTATTTATTTATTTAATTATTTATTTTACTTTTTCTTAAGAATTTAGGGAGAAACTTATCCTTATGGTGGAATCCCTGGCTGTCGAGCAATCCATGAGAGGTATTTTTGATACTTCCTCTCATGTATCGAAAATGCTGGTTTGTTCCATCAAAATACCATCTACGAAGGCTTATTTGTCTTGTTACTTGCACTAGTGTTCCAAGAATCCCCTTGTCTTCTGTGTTGGGTTCAAAATTACAAGGCAAAGAGGAGAACATAAGGTTTTCATAGTAGCAGAAAATATTTAAAGACACGCTCAGTCATTAAACATTTTATAAAGTTTTATCGAATTTTTTTTCAATCTAAAAGTTCCACTTTGTCAATCAGACTAGTTTATTTAAGTCAATCTTTAAATCCCTCGCTTAGTAAAATATGTTTAATTTAAAATAATGAGATTTCAGAGAAAATGCCAGTAAATTAAGCTTTAAACTTGAAATGTTTCGAGCAAATGCAAACATCATTCGCATTCTTTAGCTCAAAATTTTTAACAAACTTAACATTAAATGCCCAACACAAGGAGTAAAAACTGTAACAAATTCTATATTCAAACTAATAGCGTACTTATTTATAATGAGGTTTATTACTCGCATTTATTCATAGAATATGGTAGTTTACTGGGAATTATTAATCTGAGCTCCATCACAAAATTTATTGGGTATATTCAGTTCCGTTTACGATCATATTGGAACGTATAGCAAAAAATTGGAAGAAGTGGATCATATTGAAACGTGTAGAAAGAAAGAAATCGAAAACCTTTTTCTTGAATATGGAAAAATATTGTTTAATGAAAATGCTAACAAAAACGTTAAAGCGTATCACCGATGACTATATGTATCAAATGCAGTGATCCGAGTGATATAACATGAAGTAAATCCATCCAAAAACTTCTTAGGACCCCCTCACGTACCTACAGGTAGTTCATCAACCAACTTTCTCTATCTAACCACATTTACCACCAGGAGGCGCTTAATCTCCGCCACCCCACGAGGGAAGGACCCACGAAGTTAGGAAACAACCTCCAATCCTTGCCGAGATCTCTTTTCGGCAGCATCTTCCTCTCGCGTCATCTGTTGCTCTTGGGCCTCTCTCTCGCATGCTATTCGGACACGCTGCATCTTTCCGTCTCATTATATTTCTCACTAAACGAGATATCATCTTTCCGAAGTTCGTTCCTAGTAACCGGCACTAGAACGATAAAAGATTTCCTTTCCGTTCTGCGAACTTTTTTCTGTGAAAAAAGTTTACCAGAAAGTGTGGTGGTATTCAGTGGAGGATTAAACACAGGATTACCATAAAAGGAATGTGTTGTTGTCCATGTGCTGTTGTGTTCACACGTCGTCCTTCAAGGATTGTACCGTATCACCGCGTGAGTCTGTAGCCAACAGTGGAGCCATCCCGAGTTCTAAATGGTGCAGCGGAGGTTTATTTTTACCCAAGGTAAGGAACGTTTTTTTTCATTCTCTCTCTTTTTTTTCTCGAGAACTTTTTCTGTCGTCTCGCTCCTCTGGCATGCTCATTCGAAGTGTTGTCTCCTGTGTTGCATTCTACGTATTTTAGACGTAGGCGATCGGAGTTTGAGGTTCATTCTTTCACAACTCCCTTTTTTTAGTTCTATTTTTTTTTGTCGTCCATTAATATTTTAGTCACTTGAAATTAAAGGGTGGGTAGCTGGCGCCGAGTGAACTTGTGGCTTTTTGTGCACTTGAATATTGAGGACACATTTTCTTTGTAAAGAATGAAACTATGCCAAGCACTCACAAAAGCAAATCCAAGGTTTTACAGTGCAGTGTTGTATGAAATATTATAAGCTTTTATGCGGATTCCAATGTTTCATATTTAAAAAAAGCAAATTTACATAAATACGTTTTTTTAAGAATCCAAAGTTCTAAATTGAGGTGTTATATAAAATTGTATGAACTTGTATGTGGATTCCAAAGTTTCATATTTAAAAAATAAAGCCACTTAGTATTTTAAATCTGACTCCAGATTTTACATTGCGGTATTATAGAGAATTGTATAAGCTTGTATGTTGATTCCAAAGTTTTATATTCAAAAAGCAAATCCACATAAATATTTTTAAGAAAAGTCCACGGTTTTATATTGAGGAATTTTATAAACTTGTACCTGAATTCTAAAGTTTTGTATTTAAAAATCAAATCTACATAAATTTTTTTTTAAAAAATCCAAGGTTTCAAATTGAGGCGTTACATAAAATTGTATAAGCTTGTATGTGGATTCCAAACTTGATGACATAAATATTTAAAATATTTACGTAATAACTTACTTAATAAATTACATGTTATGTCACTACTTATGAGCAGTGCGAATATATATATATATATGAGTTGAATAATTTTTGTTTATGAACTCAAACACACACACAGATGTAATTTTAAAGTAATATTTATATTAGTAGTTTGTCTTTTGACTCTAAAATTAATGACTTAGATATTTTTCTGAAAATATTCCAAATAATTTATACTATAGTATAATCATTTATGTATTATTTTATTACATAATTTATCTTATCAAAACTTACAATAGCAAATTAATTTTTAACGATGTTCAGTTAGTTAATATATTATATTAACTTAGTTCATGTAATATAATAACTTAAGTTTTTTTATGTAAAAAAAGTTCGTATTAATTAAATTTACTGTCCCTTTAAATATTCTATAAATATCTTGAAAGAAAGGCAGATAAAGTTGCTTTTTTACTAGAAAATTTGACTAGAATTTTTATTGAATAAATAAATTTATAAGTTTCCATAATTATTTTTTAATCTTTTTAAAAATAATAACTTCAAAGAATTACGAGATATTATTAATTTAGAAAGTTTTAAATATTTTTGAAATATAAGTGAAAGAATTCCTAAATTTTAAAAGAAAAATAAGGATAATATTCAACTTGAAATTATCTATATCATTTCTCCTAAGTTTTGTTGATATTACTATGCACTGGTAATTTCGAGAAAAAAATGTTGCAAACATATTACGCGTTAAAACTTTTTTGATAATACCTTGCTAATCCTTCAATGCTGATAATACAGTAAATGTTTTTAACTATTATTATTAAACAGTAGAATACTCATATAATATCTCAAGTATTGTTGCGAAAAAATATTATTATTATGAAGAAAAAAATTCTTTACACACATTCCATATTTTTTTATAATATCTTCAATGCCGGTTTCATAGTGGAATAAAAGATAATTTTTAAAGCAATATAACTGTTATATAATTATTTTTGAGAAAAATATTACAAACCTAATACACGCTATATCTTTTTTGATAATACCTTGTTAATCCTTCAATGCCGGTTTGGTAGTGGAATAAAAATTAATTATTATTATCAAGCAGTATAACAGTCATATGATCTCTGTAACAATGTTGCGAAAAATTTTATTTTTGAGAAAAAAATATTTGAAACTTATTCCTTGTTACAACTTATTTTATAATACGTTGCTAATCCTTCTATGCCGGTTTGATAGTTTAATAAAAATTTATTATTATTATCAAGCAATGAAACACTCATATAATGTCTCAAACATCGTTATGAAAAAAATTATTTTTGAAAAAAAATTACAAGCATATTGCACGTTAGATCTTTTTTATAATACTTTTCTAATCCTTCAATACAGGTTTGAATGTGGGATAAGAATAATTTATTATTATCAAGCTAATAAAGCTACATAACACTCATTTAATGATATATAATGTCTTTCATAACACTCATATAATGACATGACACATATATAATATCTCATCGATTGTTGCCATGAGTGAGAATAGCCTTAGATATTTTTTTAAAAAAGTTGAATTTATATTAGCCTGTAGCTACGCATTCTACACTGAGAAAAAATATGGCCAAAACTATCAGAATATGGTAACATTTACCGTGTTTCTGACTCTATGGGGCAGTAGTTTCCGGAGTTCGGTAATTAAATGTCGTAAAATTTGGTAATTTTATTCATGGTGATTTAGAACACGACATAAGGACTAATTTTTCAGTTAAATTCACTTTTCAGTTTTGTACTAAATGTATAGAAAAAAGAACTATAATTTTGAAATCCAGAATTTCCGGTAAACTATTTCCAGATGAAAGTAAAAGTTATAAAGATATGTTAATTAGTTAAGGCAGACGACATTTTAAGTTACGAAATCAGAGACAAAATCGTACCTTGTCTGAATAAACATATCTTTTTGTCTGGGGATTCGGATATCTGATCCCCATGAAATAGGGGGTACCCCCAATCTGGGAAATATGGTCCTAATACTTTGATCAGGAAAGCGGTTCAAAGTTTGGACAACTTAATGTTAATTTTACTTTTAGCGTATTTCGCCATATTTCAAAAAAGTGCATGCGCTAACAACTTTTAGCGAATATTTACCATTTTTTATTATTAATTTCATAATATTCGAACAAATTTTGTTTTGCAGAGTATACAATTTTTACATCATTTTAAAACATGTATTTCACATGGAAAAATTTAAAATTTGAGCAAAATCGGACAAACAGTTGCTGAGAATTTAAACTTTGAAAATATGACTTTTTCAAAATTCGATTTCTCTGAAACTATTCGACCGATTTACTCATGTTTTGTATTTTGCCATTTAAAATAGCCTTCTTTAAAATTATGTGAAAAATTTCGTACCTTACTGCTTAATTTTTTAAATTTAATTTGTGTACTTGAGATCACTCCCCCCCCCCCGAACCAATAAAATTGAGTCCTAGATCGTGTAGAGCCGATCATTAGGCCAAAAGTTATTAAGGGTGATTTGTTTTTCATTTTCTGCATTGTACAACACCAAATTAGGAGAGAAAGCTTTATATAACAACCGTGTAAATTAACGCTCAATTATACTAATTGCAATACTGAATTACTAATTGCGTTAAAATTACGATACTGAGCTTTTCTTCTCAAAGCAGTGAGCTGGTTGTATAAATTAGCGGCCAACTCCCCAAATCTCAAATTTTAAAAAAATTTCTTCGAGAGTAATGTGAATCAAATTATAAAGAAACAAAGGAGACGTACACAATCTATTATATAAAAAAAAGTATTAACATTTTTTATAATTCATTTAATACACGTTTAAAGAAATCACTTTAACTGAATTTAAGTATTTTATTTCGTTAAAGAACTTTAAGGTATAATATTTGAGATTTTATGCTGTTAAAAGATATAAATGAACAAAAAACTATTTTTTAACGACAACAAACTGTCTACCTCACTAAATCGTTTAATGGTTTACAAGAATTTAAAATGCGTTACGTTATTTTTATTGCATTTCTGTTCGAATTGGTAAATACACATTTTATTCATACGTTTGCATTCAGCTGAATCCAAATATTCCCTATATGACTCAGAGACTGAATTTGCTTATGCTAAGTTAGAGTACTTATCTTAAAAGGTTTTCGAGATAAACCCTAAGTGCTGGGAATTAGTAATTTAAAGTTCTGAATTCTAATAACTTACGTGAAAATATTGAACATTTACTGCGACTCTTTCGTCTTAATGACTTATTTGTATGGAACATTGCAATTTTCAAAAGTTCTATTTAAAAGGTCATGTAATTTGTGACATCTGTTTCTAGCAATTAAACTTTATTTGTATGCCTTAAAAAAATTAAAAATAAATGTTTATAACTGGTCTGAAAATATCTTGTTGTGTGATGTTTAATATAAATATGTCACGGTATGAAAATAAACTTTCGTAAATTTGAAAGACTGTCAACGGAATTAAAGTAAAATGCATAAAAATATTCGGGTTCATTTATCATAAACTTCATGCAGCTGGATTGATATATGAGAATGAAGTGTGTGTGTTTTTGTTTTTGAAAGAAACTTTAAAAATGCATTACAACGTCGGGAAAGAAAATATTTGCAATTTCATTAAAATTATAATTGTAGAGTTTTTTTAACTGTAACAATAGCGTATGAAATTAAAATCTTCACATTGATTGCTGCATTGTAAAAATTCCTGACTTTATTTTGTCTTTTATAATCGTCGTTGAACAGCTGACCCAATTTTGGGTTTACGACGACTAATGTTTAACTCCGTAACCTTGTAACTTTGAACCTAATCCGGAAGACAATTGAACTCCTGGATCAAGTATTGGGAGAATTTGCCTTCGTGGGGAACTTTTTGATGGAACTAACTCGCCTTTGCGTTACATGGAGAGGAAAAGCAGGAGAACCTCCCACGGTTAGTCTGACGGCAGTTGGACCCTAACCCATGATCCATGTACCACTGTGGATATTTCGCGTCAGTACTGTGGTAGATGTAAGCCGGGTGCGTAATTCGTATTGACCAGCCATCACTGGGATTCGAACCCTATTCACCTCATTGGAAGGCGAATGCTCTATCCCCTGAGCCATCACGGCTCAAAATTCTTGATCATAATAAGAGATAATTCAATCATAATAAGAGATAATCT